TTCCCCCTCTGTCATGCATCACATTCTGTGCAAAAAGATACTGATGCGGAATAGTGGGCAAAGTTATTCGGTCATTAAGCCAGCAGAGAACAATATAAAAGTACAGAACAGAGATGAAATGATGTCAACCGAGGCCGAGCTTGCAAGTCAGAGCAGTGTGATGTGTGTGTGTGTGTTACATTTGTGCTGTTTGTTTATGTTTCAGACTTATTTTTCTCACCCAACACCATAACGCTCTGTAACATCACACACTGGGACCCTATAAGTATAAGTATAAAGGTGTCCTATTTACGGAGATTAATTGCAGCACTGTTGTGGAATCACTGTAAAAAGTGGTATAGTCATCATCGGTTCATCTTCATCCTTTGCATCTTAAAGCTTCTAGCTCGATCTAACCTTACTGTCATTTTGACCATGTGTGCTGTAAAGGGTTAATTTGCACTCTTTGAAGTACCTTGGCCATAATAACTTCCTTTTCTTTTCCTTCTCTCAGTTTTTCTTCATTCGCCAGACTCACAGGGTCATGGATATGAAAAAGACAAATAAAAAATTGATAGATCCATAGATTATAGTCCTGCGGTAGTAGAAGGAACAGAGCTGTCACTGGAGAGATGTTTGATGGGACACATGAGAAAAGACAAAAAGAGAGAATGTAAACATACTTGTTAAGCAATCAGACCTACCTGGATTAACCCACTTAATAACACACATCTGTTTTCTTAATGCTCTTCAATGTATTTAAGGCAGGGAGGCTACATTAAGGTATAACTGTCTTTAAGCATTTTTCTCTTTGTCTTTTTCCTTCCTTCTTGTCTCTCTGTGACACTCTTTAGATTTGGTTATCCAGTCAGGAGTACGAGGTGAAGCAGCAGCTGTGCTTTCCTTCTCTGCACTCTGGTGCTGACATATTTTAGCCTCGTCCAAATCTGGCAGTGCCTTGAGTTGTCATTTTTCCAAATGTGTTTCAAATGTCACATTTCTGTATCCAGACTATTGAACTGATCCTCATGGTCTTGGCCGTGGTGTTCGTCAGTTCAGCACCGAGTGCCAAAGTCTGACACAGAGGACACTTCGCCTGAGATTTAGCTCTTGCTTTGGATGAGAACAGTGAAGAGAAGTACAGCTATACTAATTCAAACAGAATCAAAAGCATGGTTAGATGTACGAATTAATGGTTTTATAAAGATTTCATATTTCTCGTGAATTTCTCGTTTTTTGCTTCACACCAAAATGATGCTTTCTGATCATCATTTACTGTTTGGGTTACATTACGGTCCTTTTACATGCACTTCATAGTGTGGCTAAGAAATATGATAATTCTGTACATACATATGTATCGGAAACGGATTGGAACTGGAAATAAAGTGGATCGGTGCATCTCTTATTTATTTGTTTAAAAGTCAGTGGTGGCTGATTGAAATGGTGTGCCAGAAACATACTTAGTTGATTAAAAGGCAGATCTATGTATTTGACTTAAAAGGAACAGTCCCAAAATCAAATCTACAAGTTGATTTATTAGTAGGAATATTTTCCAAGCATGTACGACTAGAAGAATTTTCCAACTGTTTGTTTGCACACACTATCAGCAGATACTTGGGCTGCTCTCTGCTTCTGTGGCCATTTCAAAAATGTATTCTCAACACAGACGCAAACAAATGAAAATCATGCTGAAACTGCAACCGATCAGAAATTCCAAACACTGGCACAGCCTTTAATGGTATCCATTTAGCTTTGCATTCTTTAAAATCCCCCGCAGAATATGTTCAGGAGATCAGAATGAAAAGAACAGTCTGCAATGTCAGTTTTGTGCCACATCTCTTAATAGTCTTTAAATAGATTTGACTACAAAAATGATCTCTCTTCTGTTTAAACTTTAAGCATGCCAAGAAAAGCTGCACATGCCACAGAATAAATTAAATTATCTGTTTTAGGAATTAAATCCCATGCTGTGAATTCTCATAGTAACCATAATTAACTCCATATTGAATGACTTCCTCAAATGTAATGATGTGATATACACCTGGTTCAACATGCTCAAACTACAATATGTCTGACTCTTTATCTTCGTCAGTCAGCTGTAGGCTGACAGGAAATGTGGGGAGAGAGGTTGGGGGATGACATCCACCAATCAGTGATAGAGGTGAACCTACGACCAAACTGTACACCCTGCACTCTGGGTTTCCTGCTGAGCTATACCAGTGACCTTCTGTTAAATATTCTTAACAAGGAAAAAACACTTATTTGAAACTTAATTTAGTGAATTATTTAATGTTTTTTATAGTTACATTATTTTCTTTGTAGCTGTTTTGTTGACTTGACTTCTACATGTTAGTCATCATCATTGTACTCTAGTTCGCCTCCATCTGTCAAGGTAAATGCTGCATTTTTCTCTCCTTCACATGCACAGCATGATGGCAATTAGTTTCCATTTATACCTCACCAGGCAACACCTAGCACAATTTGGCTGACATTGAAACTTGTTTGTTTAGCTCTGTGTGTAAGGTTGTATGTGTGTGTGTGTGGTGTATACATATTCTGTTTCGTCATTTCCCAATCTACTTGCCTTACAGTTTAGCTGTAGGTTGTTAGGCCTGGCCATGATGAAATGCTGAGCTTCGTCTGCCTGGATGGCAGTGTATAAATGTCCATGTGAGGCAGGAAAGCTACTTTGACATCCCCGCTCAACTGCTACTATACTGCAGGCATCTGTGAACAAGTGTAGGTGATGGTCTATTTTAATTTACCGTACATGATTACATAGAGAAACACTGGTTTCAGTGTGGGTGTTTCCCCAGGTTTATATGTTGGGGATGGTGGGGTGCTGCTGAAATAAAACAAGTGCACATAAATTCTATGAATAAAGTATTTTATGCCTTTCTTTTGGGGTGGTAGGAGGTCACATTTGTGGTGGTGGGCCAACACAAATGAATGTAGGAATGTAGGGGAAACCCTGAGTGTAGAATTTCTGAGGCTGGGCTGCAAGAAGATTACTTTTGAAGCTTTTGTTCATTTTTGTGATAACTGGAAACAGCAGAAAAGCATTCTCTTTGCTTTCGAACAATTTAAAGTCTCAAACTTTAAACTTCTCTCGCTCTTAAAAAAACACTTATCAATGCAAGGTAGGTACATTGTATTCTCGTGCCACACATCAGCTGTATTCATAATGCTTTCTTTATTTTCTTTAGTTGCTGCTCTGCATGTTGCTTAAGACACTCTGAGAAACCATACACAACAATAAGAACGTCTGCAATATGTCAGGCGACACAATCAAGGCAAAAAGAAAATGGAAACATGTTGATTCACTTCTAATGTAATCTCTTAGGCCAGAGTGTGCGTGTCTGTGTTAATTTCCTTGCAATGCTTGGGTCCAACTGGAAACTAACAATGAAATTAAATTCATAATGAATTTTAAGTACATTTCATTATTGATATTAATTGTATCTTTGTCGTCCAAATTGTTCTCTAACTGTCTGCTCAAATATTGTCTCTGTCTCAGTGAAGTGTGCTGTGAGGGCAGAGGAGCAGAGGGAGTGTAGAGGAGAGCGCTCTGGTATTGATCACGATAGAGACCAATGAAACAATGGAACAAAACATTTCCTCTGCTCTTCTTCAGAAATGTCAAACACCCACACAAGCCACTCAGTCCCTATACAGTCCCAATACATACTCACACATAGCACTCTGGTTGCAACGCTACAGGCTGCTGCGTAAATGATCTCAGAATTATCTTCCTACACACAATATCTCACTCTCTCGGGGTGTGTGAGAGTGCTCATAGCAGGCAGAGTATTAATGGGATCCAGGCTCTACCTTTTATGGATAGAGAATCCCTATCATTGCTCTCATCTGCACCATTTAGCCTGTGATCGTAGATGTCTTACTTAACCAAAAACCATTCAGAGCACTTTGTCATGATTTTCTTTTTTGTATGATCAAAGTGTTAAGTGGAAGTTATATTACTAACACTGTTGTTCTACTACTACTACTACTACTACTACTACTACTAAGTAGTTCTACTCTAAGTCCCTGTAACAGTTGTCTTCATGTGACTCAGAAAAGAAAGGTGGCTAGTTGTAGGGTTACATTTGGTTCTGGTTGGGAAGTTTGATGTCACACAGCAGCCCGATCTGTAGCTCATTCAGAAAGCTAACATGGAAGGGCTGATCAAACATAATGTGCTCTGTGGGCTGTGTGAGTTCGAGACTCTTAAGCTGTTCTCATATAAAAACATGTACTTTTAAAATGGCCAAATATTGTAGAGATAACTAAAGGTTTTATATCACAAAAGCCTTCTTGAGATTCATCCATTTAAGACAACTAAACCAGACATAGTCAACACATTGCTCCTGGACAATAATGTGTGAATACTGTTTTTATCTCACAAATAAAGAAATATGTATTTGTATTATCTCAAGTGGTTCATTTTCACAATGTATTCAACTGTACAAAAAACCTTTACAGATTGTTAGATTTTGTCTTGGTGTGAAAGGCAGTGTGGCATTAATTCAAGTGAAACTGCTTTACTAAAGAAAACTGGCTAAATATTAGTAAGCTTAGCATTTATATAGTTTGCTGCTCTCGGTTGTTCGGGTTGCGTTGGTACAATACTTTTTTGACTGAGGACGAGTTAAAAGAAAAAAAATAAGTAAAAATGTATAACTTATAGCATGCCTGCAGTTTTTAGAGACAATACATTTAAAGCAATGTGTTTGTCAAAGTTTGTCCTGACAGTTATTAAATGTATGCATTCAAGTCATGTATACCATTTATCCTAACTTGTTTTCTGTTTTAGCTAGAACAGATATCAACATATTGAGTGGCTTATTGTGCATTGTGAATCCCATCAGGATGTTTGTTCCTATTCCTAGCACACTAGTAATGAACATTGAAGTAAATCAGGCCTTAGTGGAACTTGGACAAAACACTGTGTCATTGTAAAGATTTAAAAGTCTTTTAATTTTGATTCCTGTTTCTCTTTCCCTCTTTAATGGTGTCTTTAGATGTTGCCAATGGCAGCACAGGCTACAGGCCTCCTCCCAGAACTAAAGAGGTGGCCATCAACGGCCAGACAGTCAAGCTGAAGTATTGCTTCACCTGCAAGATCTTCAGACCGCCTCGTGCCTCCCACTGCAGCCTCTGTGACAACTGTGTGGGTGAGTGAGAATCAATTCTTCCTGGTTGTATTTTTGGCCTCAACTTCTAATTTTAACTACATTTATTTATAGACATAAGAACAAGGAACACAAACACCCAAGACCAAAACCAACATGTCTTCACTCAGTTTGTTTAATTTTTGCACGTCATACCTCACTTTAGTCTTTTGGCCTTTCTGAGAAAATCATCTTTCTGAGGTTAATTAAATTTTTTAGAAGGTTGATTCACAATGACATAATTGTTTATTATCCAAGAATCATGAAATATATTTGGGTATCAATAAAGACTGACTGTTAAGGAGTCTTCATTATTGTATCAGTATCAATGACAATTAACTTTCCCCATCTGAAGTTAGGTATATACTTTATATCTCTTCCAAACAGCTGTATTATACTGTATTATATATTGCTAGGGAAACAAACAATTAAGTCCTCCAAACAACCGTTTATTCAAGTTTCTGAGAAAAATCTAACCTTTCTTTTTCTTGACATTTCATTTGATCGCAGCATGATGACGTTTTATTTACTCTTGCCTAATTGTCATTTTAAGGACCCAACCTTGAACACATCATAATGTAACATTTAGTCACCACTTTTGGTTAGGTAACCAGCTGTTATCTTGCCAATTTCAGAATGGATTACTATTATTATTTTTTATTTTTTTTACTAACGGGACTGGCTACAAAATTTGCATCCACGGCTGCTTTGGTTGTAGGAGGAGGATGCCTGTTTCTGCAGCAGCAGTTTATTCAACCTGAAGACCGTGTAAGGTGCTGAATATTGGTTGCTGATGTGCTTGTTAGCTGGCAATTCAATTGTATTCAAAAACGTTATTAAAGGATCAATGTATGTTTGAGCAGCAGTGATTTGATTTGAAAGCTGTGACTTGACACGAGATATAACGTTACAGGGCCTTGAAATTGTATTGCAGTATCGATAAGCTCAAACGTTAATGATTTTCAGTTTATGAAAAACAAAACAGGTTTCAATCCCCACTTACATTAGCACACAGAACTCAGATAAATAGTACAAACCTGTTTAAAGGAGACTACAAGCCAAGTTCTATGTTTACTTTATGATGTCTACCTACAGGGGAAATACAGCACACATGCCTCCAGGAGTTACATCCACACTGAGGGGAAAGGGGGGATGGTTACACTGAGAAAAAACAACAACAACAAAGAAGCAGCATTATGGTTGAGTTTTGCTCTTACCAACAACATTCACCGTCCCTTGAGTTAAAACCGAATGCACAGCGAGGCAATTACTGATGGATAGAGTAAGAGAGATACAGAGACATTCAGGCCTCATCTGGGTTTTTATGCCGCTCACTCATCAAAGACAACTCCATCTTTGAAAGTGTATTTCTTTTGTCGGAAGTGGGGCCGACTGAAACCCTCTGAGACAAAGATTTGAAAGTGGTAAACAGAGGGAAAAGATGAGGAAGTGTTAATCAGATGTGGCAGATGCCTGCAGGCAGAAAAGAAGACAGACTGGCAGCCAAACAGAAGGATGGAATGGCAGTCATTTCTTTCACGAAAAAAAAGCTGTGTTTTTAAAAGCACAAAGGTGGACTCTGTGTTTTTTTTAATTGGATTGTTAAAGTTTGAAATGAAAAGGGTGAGGCTGATTTTTTTTTTTTTTAAATTAAATTCAGTTCAATAGGTATCCTGCCTCAAACCAAACCGGAATAAATAAATGGGTGATAGATTTGAACCAGTACGATTATAGGGGATGCTTTGATGGCCGTCCAAATACAGACACAGAGCATTGTAGTATATCCAGTACTTATTTTGAAGGTGGGTCTGGATCATCATTGTAAGCCACAGATGGGTGGGAAAAAATTAGAAACATGTACTGTTCTGTTCGCACAGCAGGTGGAATAAATTATGAACTCCAGTTATAGATGTCAGTTAGAACTTGTGTCTCCTTTACAAATAAATACTTTCATTTCTGTTCTCAAAGCTCCAGGACTCCATCCAGTGAGGCTCCATATCCCCTTAAAGAAATCCTTGGTCAGTCGGTACAGAGTTAATCATGAGGTTTCAGAGATAAAGTGTAGAAATTAAGATGCAGGGAATTACAATATATCCTGAAGAAAAGGTTCAATATTTACATAAAAAATTTATACTCAAGATTTTCTCTGGCCTTTTTCACATCGGCTTTGAAAAAGTGATACAGTTGCCTTTCCTGTCTCTACTTCTGATGCTGTAAATGCCAGAGGGGCTAACAAGCTCTTAAATAAGTCAGCAGTCAAAACGGATAGGGCCTCCCTGGTGGACACAGAGCCATATTGTGGAGTCACTATTTAAAAAGGGGTTATTCCTCTGGGTGTGATAAGAGACGCTTATAAGGGCGTAGAATTATGATACGTACACATAAACTCAGAGACTGCTTCTATTTGTCTTCCTGTTGTCTCTTTCTTTTTACTTTTACTATACAGTTTCTGTACAGATTCATTTTTGGTGTAGTGCAAGAGGTTGTGTCTTTATGATTAATTATTCCAGATGATTTTATTTTTGCAGCTCAGATTTCTGATGATGTGCTATTATCTGTACATGACGTTGACATTTTTAAGACCCTCTTGAGGTAAAGCAATTGTTATGTAGGGCAACAATAAAACATGCATGAGATGAATAATAGATACATGAGAATACATTTGACAAATACATCATTCAGTGTCGAGTTGGGGTTTCAAGCTTTTGGTTTTAAACATCATAGGATGGATCATGACGCTACTGAGCAGTTAGCTTCCACCTGTGATATGCAGATGTTTCAGTCATAATGGGGTTAAATTGTGGCAACAAGTTTGGCAATATTGTCAAAGTCATGCCATCAAGCTTTCTGAATTGAATTGAAATTGAATAGTGTGCACCCATCCATACATTGTAACATTAAGATGTTACATCTGACCAGAGGCTGTGTTTCCTTTGACCAGGCATTGATTAAAGAAGACAAAGGCAGGTCAATTCACCTCACTAAACAAATGATTGCTCTGATTAATTAGTTGAATTGATCCCACTGTGCACAGCAAGTCGTCCACACTCGAATACAGGACTGTGGGATTAGGGCTGATTAAATAACCTCATTAACAAGGAGCCCACGACTCTTTATGTAATCAGTAAAAAGATACGTTTACCGGGGCACAGTGTCTTTGATTAGAATACCACTGAGTCGTTTTCATCAGAAAGCATTTCACATTAAAAATTAAGTAGTTAATCACTTCCACATTTCATTCAGATATGTTTTAAGTCTATCTTGATTTCAATTGTTTGAGTTATGTTTTACAACACTGATATTCAGTTAAATGAGGCTCCTCTGTGCAACACAATCACACTTTGTTCAGTAGCACAATCTGTACTCAAAATGTCTGACAAACTTGTGTCAGTGTTTACATGTAGGTAAGCCTCTCTTGGTCTGTACTGCATAAAGTCTTAGGAAGGAGAATGGCAGTCAAGACCACACTTAACACTTTTCTTCCACTCTCTTTTTATCAGTTCCCCAAACATCTTCAAATATTCTTAAATAAAGACTTACTCCAGCACTTTATCTGTTGACCCAGATAAGAGCTTTTTTCACCCTCTCAACCTTGCACACTTCCCTTTTCCCCCAATTCCCCATAGCTCCAAATTTGCAGAGTTTACATGCGCTGAAGATACCTTGTTTTGCTTTTGTTTTTTTATAGTTCAGTTTTTGTTTTTTTTATACTTGGTCATCAAGATTATCTACAGATGCATTTGAGGACACCTGATCCCTAAAACATGTGTACATAGTATACAGGCGGGATTAATATCGCTGTGCGCTAGCAATCTGGGAATCAATCAGCTATTCTCTGACAATGATAAGCTTCTGGGAACATTGGTCAACTTCTTGGTATTCCCAGTGCAGCCAGCAGTTAGCCATAAATGATTCTCCGCCGAAAACCTCCTTTTACATGCGCTGCATTGATTACATCCAGTTAGCAACTTAAGAAGTGTGATAGATCAAAATATTAAATCAAAAGAGAGGCAAAATTCACCTCCAGTTTTGCCTTGTGGATTGTTAGCTGCTTTTTCATGTAGAGATACGTTTTAAAGATGAATTAATTGTCGTCAGATTAGCACCAATGGGAGATCACACATCATAATGGGGGATTGTGTTCAGACTGCTTTAGCTCTCCTCAAGGACTGTTTTTCCTTCATACGCCAAAGCCTGCTGATACGTTATTGATCAATAGTACTTGGACTACAAATGTATTACAACCAGAGACCATCCAAACACTTCCCAGACTAAAATCCAGACAGGAGTAGAGAATCTACATTTTTAAGTAGAACCTGAATGGAAATGACTTTTGCAGCAGCGTAGGAGGTTAAAGAAAAGATATTCATGTTTCCAAAAAAGTATAATCTTTTAACTCTGCCTCTGTCTCTTTCTGTGTGTGCAGAACGTTTTGACCACCACTGTCCCTGGGTGGGAAACTGCGTGGGAAGAAGGAACTACCGTTTCTTCTACATGTTCATCCTCTCCCTCTCCTTCCTCACCATCTTCATCTTTGCCTTCGTCATCACACACATCATTTTACGTAAGAAACTGAGGGTTGGGAAAAGGGACATGTACTGACGTCTGGTACACACACACACACACACACACACACACACACACACACACACACACACACACACACACACACACACACACACACACTCCTCCTGGCTGTGTTATTGGTATGTTTCGAGCCAGCAGGTTGTAAGTGGGCGTTGTGAAAAGCTGCAGCATTTTGGCTTGTTACCATCTTTCCAGCTGGGAGCCGGCGGTGGACTGTTGGGCTCCCCATCAGTGGGTGTGCTTGTGTGTAAGGTTGTGTCCACATAAAGGACATAGAGTGGATCAGTGTTGCACTGAGAGAAAAGTGTGGGCAACAAAAAGTGCTACAAAAGTGTAGCACTGAATAATAACATTTTAATGTTTTTTTGTTTTTTTTCAACAAGCCTGTTCTCACTTTGATTGTAACCACAACTCTGTGTTGAGTCTCATGCTGTCAGATTTGGCGAAACAGCACCACTGCAGGTGGAATTTTAGTCTCAAAATTGGCCTCAAATGTAATTGGAGAACATCCAAGTGGTTTCATAATTTGGCCATGTTTCAGGATTACAATAGAAACCCAGCAAATCTATGAAAACTCAACTCCACAATACTTCGAATCAAAGGTAGTTGCAGTCATCCAGGTGCTGAAATCACACCTTTATGTTACATAATTTCATTATTATGTTAATTATAAACCAACAAAACATATCTTTGCACCTTCTGATTCATTTGTTGAATTATGACAGGTGTTATTAAAATAAGTAGATGATCAATGTGGTTTGTGTCCAACAAACATATAACACTATATTATATTTGGTCTTCAAGTATTTAAATTGAAAAACTGATTCATGTAGGCTCAGTCTGCTGAGCTAACTTCATCTTTCATGGCACTCAGCACTTTAACCAATAAAGGGTCTGCCTTAGGGCTATGCATTGGCAAATATGTAGTCATGCTGATCGTGATACTGTACGCTATATATATAGCGTACAGTATCACGTGATATTTTTTAACTAAATGTTCATAAATGTATAAAAAAAACACAAATATTTCAGTTCAGATCGGGTTATTTAATGTAGTTCAATCAGTGGGATCCGACTTGATTTTTAATCTAGGAGCACTATTTTGTGTTCACAATAAACATGTGCATAAACAAGTTCAAAATAAAATCTATGCATTCAAACTGAATGAAATGAATTATATGATGTATCAATGCTTTCTTACGCCCTTGTCTCTCACAGGTAATGGCTTTATAGAGTGTAGTACCTTTTCTCTAGTACAAGTCCCCAGTCAGGGAGTGTTTAATGTTGTTGTGATTCATTGTGTGCATTAAATGCTAAATGCAGCCGTACACTGTCTGACTAATACTGTCTTCTTTTACAGGCTCCCATCAACATGGGTTCCTCAGCGCACTAAAAGACAGTCCTGCCAGATATCCTTTTACTCACATCGACCTTTTGGCTTTTTTTGTGAAATATGTGTATCTTAAATGAGAATGATTCTACTGTCTCTAACACGTTCTCCATATTGTTCTAAGTTCATTCATCAGGCTCATAAATTAGAGTAAATTATATTAAAACTTGTTCCACACTAACTTGCCCAACCAGGGTCCATGTAGTTCATTATGTAGGTCAGAATTTATTACCATGACATGCCTCCTCAAAGCGTTTCCATCCAATGCTCCTGTCATTTTCTGCACTTCTAGTCCTTGCACAACTGGTGTGTGTCTGATTAGTCCTGTTCCATCAGGCTAACGCAGCACGCAAGGCAACTTCTCAATCTGTCTCTGTCGATTGATTCAGTTCCTCTTTAATTTCATCTGGCTCTTACTTGGCTCCCTCTACAGAGATGTTGTGTGAGTGAGATTCGACGTCGAGCATGGATGTGTCCGTTTGTCTGATAGATGCCAAGTGTGTGCAAGAAGTCTTAAGATGCAGCTGTTAGAAATACCCTGTAAGACAGCTTATTGTCTTGACACAACATCAGTATTAATCATGTAGACTGTTGTCAGTCCAAGCAAGTCAAATGTTTTAATTTGATATTGCAGTAAAAGGAAGTTTGACACAGTTTGTCCTTCGCTCTAAGCAGTAAATCCAGGCAGGAAAGACGGAAGGAGCTGATGTCAGAATTTAAATTTATCACCTCCTCGACAGACTTTTTTGAGAAGATACTGAAATGACCTTTTTTGACCTTTTATGCAAAACCTCCTGACAATGACAGCCAATGTTCTCGAAGAAAAAAATGTGTAAATAATAATAGTTGTAAATAAAACAGGCATCTGATCATTTTTAGAATTGACACAACCTTTTCAGTGATGAAATCTTAATGGTACCCAATGCTACTTACTGCTAACAAATTTCAGTTGAGAGCACCGGGCTATGACACTGTCCCTCGCTCTCTGCCCTTCTCTTTATGGCCGAGTACGATAACTGTTTCTCTGGCAGAGAAATGCCAAGCCAAGCTGATAACGGCCTGTGTCCTACAGGACTTTAATAAAGGGGAATTGCAGTCGATAGTATTAAAGCAGTCCTTTGTACTAGCTGAATGATGACATGTTTTGTCCTTACTGAAGAGGAGGAGAGAAGACACAGAGAGACACAGAAGAGTAAAGGGAATGGGATGGCATTTAGATGTTTTTATTTTTTTACAGCACAGTTTACAGAAAGATTCATGGTTTTTAACCAAGTAATATTTGACTGACCCTCCAACTCATTTGTTTTTTTCTTCAATAAGCCCTCAGCGATGTATCTGTGCTATATAGTGCATTTGTTGTCTTATTTAATGAACAAGAAATTCTCTTTGAGACTGTTCCCTACGATTCAGTTCTGAGTCTCTCAGGCAGAACAATGCTGTAGGACAGTGTGTGTGCTTTTGTGCTTTATGTGGAGCAGAGAAAATGAGCAGTGCTCTGCATTGCCAGCCAAATTAACTGGTAACTAGGACCTATTGGCAAGCAGTGGACAGGCCTGAGGCTGTAGGTCAATATGCTAGCTGAGCTTGCACCATTTGTTTGTCCGTTGGAGCTCTGTATGGGTCAATGTCTGTATATTGGTTTTCACATTTTTTGTCTGTTTTATTAATTGAAGAATAGATCAATTTAAACCTGTACCAAAAAATACAGAAATTATTCCTTGACTTGTGTCACTGTGATGGAGGTGGTGGTGTGTTTCTTTTCTGTATGGTCAATAGTGGGCCTATCAGGCTTCCATACTTACCTAATCAGCTCAAACCAGACGACCAATGAAGATGTGAGTATAAATAAACACTTCATATCAGTATGAATTTGAATGTTTTTTTTTGTTGATCATTTGAACCCTGTGCTGGATTCAGAATACCTGACTTTTCAGTGCGGATAATAAGTATCATCTGTTTTTTTGTGGCAACGGTTAAAAGTCGTGGTCTTCTTTTAAGCTACAATTTTGTAACCTAAAACAACATTTTTATATATTTTGTAAAATTGAAAAAGAAGAAGAAAATATTTCTAAACTGAGAATCACTTGTGTGATATGTCATGAGGAAATAAATCAAAAATGTTAGCATAAGGAAATCAACAGGACAAACTATATAATACATTTTATTTCTACAAAGAAAGTATTCAAAGGGATTTAAGCATGTTGGTCTCTGTCTCTGTGTTTTTTGCCAAAACGTGTTGATGTTGTGTGGTCTTTTCTAGATAAAAGGGTCCTGGTCTTCTAAAAGAGGGAAAGACAACTATAACCCGTACAGCCATGGCAATATATTCACCAACTGCTGTGCGGCGCTGTGTGGACCCCTTCCACCGAGGTATGTGAAAAGAATGTTTTTATTAATGATTTATTCCCAGATGCCTGGCTGAGGACATTTAACCCAGTTCATTAACAGTTTTAGAGAATTCATTCTGAAGCTTTTCATGTAAAGAGACACACACACACACACACACACACACACACACACACACACACACACACACACACGCACACACAATATAACATTTAGTCTGAAATAGATCTGTCCTTTAGGCGAGGAGCTGCAGTGAACGGAGCCTGCTTGCTGCCTTCTCTCTATACTCGTCTTCTAAGAAACCGCTGGAGTGGAAAGGATTTTAACAAAATCTGAGATCAGAGTCAGCTTCATATGCTAGATTTCTACCTTGAGCTGTTCATGTGATCAAACTGAAAGATAACCCCACTGTCACATCTACTTTTAATGTCCATGTGACTTTTATGTCAGTACCAGTGTTTCCTGCCAGCTACTTAAATGAAGATAATTATAATTATATATTTTAAGATATATTTTGGGGGCTTTTTGTGCCTTTTTTGGAGAGACAAGGACAGTGGACAGAGCCGCAAATCAGGGAAAGAGAGTAGGGAATGACATGCGGGAAAGGAGCCACAGGTGGGATTCGAACCCGGTCCGCCCGCTTGGAGGACCATGGCTTCCATACATGGGGCGGGCGCACTAACCACTGCACCACTGCACCACCCCAACTTAAAATTATTTTAACCAGAAGTTCCCTTAACTCATCCATGAAACTGCAGCTCTTACTTCCTCTCATTAAGCACCTCCTTTTTTCTTTCGTCATGGTTAGAAATGTGTTCATGCTGGAGCCAGATTCCTACTATCTGCTCTTATCTTAACCAACCACTTAGATGATATAACCCTCTCTGTGACGAGGTAAGACGTCACGCATCTCTTAGCCTTCAGAACTTTGAGCCTTAAGCTTTACCTTTTGCTTTGCACTTATTTCACCACAAGTATGAACAAAAAGATAGAGACACATACAGACTATATTTGAGCACATGCATGCAGTGCCATCTAAAGGTAGATCAACAAATGAAACAAAAAAAAAAATGATGTGGGCTTTGATCACTATTCTGTCCATGCATGTGGCCTTGAAAGCCATAAGTCACCGATTATGATTGCAGTGGGTGGCAAAGGAGAGTCCTCAGTGAACAGTTGGCTGCCATCTGGGCATGTTTGTGTGTATTTGTGGCCAATCACTGGCATTGTTAAGCTAAGTCTACCATTAAAATAAAGGATTGTTTCACCTCAGCCTCAAACTATGCATGCAATGCTCCCTCTCACAAACAAACATGCACAGAGACAAAAGCCTCTTGCATTTCATTCCCTGCTGAGACACTGACTCACATTTTCTAATGCATCATCCTTTTTTTTATGTTCTTTTCCTCCAAGCCACATTTGCAGACGTTCCGGTATGCATTACCAGCAACCCAAGCTGATGCTGGAGGTTCCTGCAGTTTTATTTGGGATTCTAGCAAACCATTTCCACCTGAATCCAGCTCAGTCTAGCTGGAACACACTGTCAACACACTCTGCATTAAATGATTACAATGCTTGCCCTGTTGAACAACACAGCTGTGTGTTTATGTGTGTGGTGGAGACTGCTCTGTGTCAGCTATACCTCTATCTGACAGATAAATAATCATTTGCACATACAGCTGGTCTATGACCTCACATGTGCACATACATAACAAGAGTTCAGCAGGTTGTCGTCTAACCAGCTGTGTCAGAGTTCGCCCATATTTACGACGGGACAGAAACAATGATTGACTCTAGTGCTTCATTAGAGGAGCTCTCAGATTTATTAAGCAGAGATGACTTTCCACGGTTGTGTGACCGTGAGAGAGTGTTTAGAAGATTTGGGTGTAAAGACTCAGATGTTGAGGCGTGTACACAGTAATACAGCACACATGCTTTAACACACTGTTGTCTCATCAGCAGAGTGTAACCACTGACACACAAGGTCATTCGTAGATTCAGCTTCAGTCAGTCAAAGTGTCTGACTGTTTCATTTGTACATCTGCATGTTTAAGCTTTCAGTGCGCTGAACAATCAATTTGATTAAACTGCTGGACTGTATTTAATCTGTTCTTGTTCATGCCATTTGTTTAATTATATTTGTGAGTGAGTGGCTCAGTGGTGGAGTTTTTTTTTTTTAACCTTTATTTTACCAGGTAGTCTCATTGAGATTTTGTTATCTCTTCTTCAAGAGAGACCTGGGTACATCAGTGGCAATAAAACCAAAAAAACATCGAAGTACAGACATCAAAACACAAAGTAGATGCATGGCCAGCACACACAACAACATCATACAAACACATTCAAGCCAAGTGTCCAATGCAGGGCTATTAACATAGACATCCCTTAATCTGAAGGTTGGCAGTTCAATCCCAGTTCCTACAGTCCATATGTTAAAGTGTCCTTGGGCAAGACACATACTGTATGTGTGTCCATAGAATAAGTTCATACTGATGTGTGCTTTACATAGCATCCTCTTCCTTCAGTGTGCACATGTGTGTGAAAGGGAGATGTTGAATGTATTCTAAAAGTGTTGTGAGTCTTCAGAAGACTAGAAAAGAACTGTGTATGTGCAGTCCATTTACCATTTTCCTCTTTCTTTGTTTCTCTCTGGTTAGTCTCATCGACAGGCGGGGCTACATCCAATCAGATACACCGCAGCTGGCACCACCGACCAATGGCATCACTATGTACGGTGCCACACAGTCACAGCAGAGCCACATGGTAAGACCCTTGCATGCCTTTTTAAGATACTACCATCAGGTTAATACCTTTTATGAACGTAAATAATTGTTAATTATCATAAGTAGTGGTAGACCAGTAGGTCAGGTTCTGGATGGACAAACACAGTTTCAGTAGAAGGCTGTTTAACATGAGGTGTGCTGGTTCTGCTTGAGGAGACTATAAACATCTTAGCTGGTTTTATTAGGTGTCTGAATGTTTCTTATTGTAGTTGTAAACATGAGCCATTCACCATTGGTTTAATCACAGGTCTGTATAACTTGGGCAAGGCAGGGAGGGCAAAGGCTAGATGTGGTCAAAGAACAGCTGTACTTAATTCTTTGTAACTCTGTTTCATGTTTTGGCTTAGAAAAGGACAAATGTTGAACCCCTCTATTTAACTTACCCAGTTCGGTTCTGTCATCCTATTAGACTGAAACTGATGAAATGCTCAAGACTGCATAGAGCGTGCTAGTGAAGTTATCAATATTTTATGTGTAGCCCCATGTTGCCAGTAAATTAGGTCAATAGTACAAGGAAGGTCCCTGTGTGTGTGTGTGTGTGTGTGTGCGTGCGTGTGTGTGTGTCCTGAAATCACTGAGCTTACATAAATGTTCTCTCTTATTTCAGTCATACCCCTTTCTTTAGTTTTGCTCATTAATCAAGCACTGTATTTCAGATTGAGGGCCCAGTTGTGCATATAAATTCATATGAATCAGAATTCATGAAATCTGTTTTTTTAAACTGATCTTTTTCTGACAAGATTCAATTATTATTTTGACAGAACTGACCCAAATGATTGGCAAATATTTAATTCCTGTCTGAGATATTCTCATTAATTTTGCCGTATACACTACTCGTAATATTATATTGAGTAAAAGAATCAACAAAGGCAAGCTTATTTAGATTTCCATTCTCATTCTGATAGCACTCTAAATTATGACTGAAGAGTATAGCAATACACCAGTCAACACCAAGTCACTTGAGCTTTTCATCAAGATAAACAGATGAAGTCTCAGCATCTAGGCCTGGATCAACCCTGGTGGTAAACACACTCACAAGTTTAGCACTGACAGTTTTGATGTGACCAGCTCCTCTCCCGAGTACATAAACAACGGCTTTCTTTTTCCGACTGAGAGAAGCAGAGCGTACGTTTGTCAGAGCAGCAGTATTCTCTGGTCGTCGCCCTTATTTCACAACATTCTCCATTCGACTCCACTTTGGAGAGCCCAGAAAATCCTCGATAATCTACCTGGATTTTTTTTTTTTTATAAGAAGAAGAAGATATCCTCCATTAATCCCTCGAGGGGAAATTTCATTTTCCACTCTGTTGTTGAGAAATTCTATACATGCATGCACAATCAGGATCCTATATACATGAATTAATGGAGAGATGTCAGAGTGAGGGGATGCACCTCGGCAATGCTCAGGATGGAAACTGGCACCTCTCTAGCTACCAGACCAATTTCCTGATATTGTCAGCACCGGGACTTGAACTGGTGACTCTCTGGTTCCACACTCGTTCATTACTTTTAGGCAACCCTTTATGTTGTTTACGTCTTTCTGTGGCCACTGTGTAGTGGTGCAGAGTTTAAATTCACTCAGTCAAAACGGTTTGTGGCCATTATGACCAGCTTGTCCTGACTCAGTGTCTTGATTTTTAACCCTTTTTTAATTTACCTTTACTGCAAAAGTTTAGCAACTCATCAGCTAAATTAAGAAATGTGTTTTCAGAACCCTTTTTTTTTTCTTAACAATGGGTTATCAATTTTTCCACCCAAGAAACATAAGAGCAGGAACCATACAAGTATAACATATGTGTATTAGACCTTCTTGTTGCTGAAAGTAGATTTGTTGTTTGTTGTTTGGCAGTCTTGGAGAGAATAGCTGGTCCCCAGACGAGGACATTGTAGTGAGCTCACCAACCAGTTTCCCTCTGGGGCCTGAATAGAAGCAACAAGTCCTCTGTTGTTCAGTGTTCCCGTTAGCATCACACATTACATGCTAGATTTAAGGCCTATTCACTCACATCCACTAAAGGTCTTTTACTGGTGCCCTCCCTGCGTTCCACAGTCATCCTGTTGTTCTCGTTTAAACTCGATGTCACCCTGTCACTTCTCATTGAGACGTTGAACAGGAATGTGATCTGTCTTCAGGTCCTGAATGTGTGGACTGCCTGAGTGGAGGCTGAGAGCTGTAGGAACATTCCCTCACGTTAGCACATTCAGAAATAACTGCCATCTGTTTTCCATAGTGATCGGGATGAGCAGCTTAAGCTGTCCTATTGTGCCCGCTGGTGGACATTTATCTGTAACCTCATTCAGTCAGCTTCTTACTTCATATATTTATTGTATGTATTAAAGCTATATAATTATGTATTCAATCTAAACCATATATGATAAGTATTACTCATCAAGACAAACAAGTCCTAGGATTTGACTAAACATTTGAAAACATGGCCATTGCTCCAGGATGATGTTTAGGCTGGCTGTATTTTTTTTTTATAGAGCTAAGCTAAAAACAACAACAGAGTTTGCATTTGTTCAACAGAAGCCTGATTATTTCTCTTATAGGTGCTTTAGTGTGTGATACAGCTTTGGTCCACAGACTGGTATGTTGAAGTCATTACACCTCAATAACATTCAACCTTTATTTGGGATTTGATTTTTCAGAGGAAAGAGGTGTTACGGCACCTTTAACTGGGTCTGTGGGCTTCACTCCCATTGAGAAGAAATAAAAGACTGAAGTGAGATGAACAGACTGAGAATGTTTTCTTATTTGACCAAAAAGTTCTTGATTTGGTTTAATTTTGTGGACATAATATGCTGTTCAAAAAGACCAAAAACACCCTCAATACAGTGAATATTAAAGCTATTTTTATACCCACAAAGACTGCTACTTCATCTACCACAATGTCATTATCCATACAGTGATGAGACACTAATAACCATTGATCATTTTCAACTCTCTGCATAAACAATGCTAAACCATGTTTATTTATTCTCTTAGAGATTCATGCGAACAACACGTAAACCTTGTTGATTCTGCATATTAATGATAAAACAAAGAACAGAAAGGCCTTTCTTGTACTTAGTGGATTTTGCTCAGGGCCCGTTCATCCAAATATACACCTTTTAATCAAGTAGCACATTTGTACAATGTTTGTTGTCACCTCATCTGTCCCGGCAGATAGTAGTGTGATGTCAGAAATAACTCCAGACTGCTGCAGTCTCCTAACCTGATTCAGCTTTCTAGTCTTTAAACTTGTTTAAAGGTTGAACATGTATGCTGGCAGATGTCACATCATATTTCTTTGATTTGTTTCTCTTGAATTTGACTGAATAATTACTTTATATATAAAATCATAAAATGACTTGATATAAATTGCTGACTGGTAAATCAGTGTACAATGTTGCACAAACTGACGTATGAATGTGTGATTGGGAATGAATGGGATCAGTTGATACTAATGGACACTTTACATAGCAGCCTCTGCCACTGTGTGAATGTGTAGGTGTGACCTGTGGTGTAGAAGTGCTTAGAGTAGTCAGAAACTAGAAAGGTTCTGTACAAGCTTGAGTCCATTTACCAAAAAGCATTGAGTCCCTGCAGACGTGTTAAAGAAGAACATTCATTTTTGCAGCTTTGAAAAGAAAAAATGATTCATGTGATGATTGAATGATTATCAAAGCGGTTGGCAATTATTTTTCAATCAATTTACCAAATTTTAGTTGACTTACGTTCTGTTCTTCAGAAAAGACCTTTTGGTAAACTACTGTTTTTCTGTTCCTGAACAAATTAGTGTTAGAACGTTAATGTAGGATTTCTTTATTTAGGAAATACAGTTATGTCTTTCTTCTTGTATCCCCATTGCATATTGCTTTCTGCTTTCCAAGCTGAGTCTCTCAGCATTCTATGGTCATATTGTTCTTTGTGGTTCTGTGTGTGTGTCTACTTCGGGGGATGGATGTGGCTGAGTTAGTCTGCCTATGAATCTTTATAAAACACGGGCTTCAATAACCGAGACCTGAATGCTCTGAGACCGAGACAAGACCAAGACATACAGGGGTCGAGGCCGAGTCAATACCAAGACCATAAATATCAATGAAAAATCATCATCTTGTGTTTAGGGGGCGTCAATCATTTAGACTGTAACACCGGAAAGGTTGCAGCCGTAACCGGGGGGGCAAACCAAACTACAAATGAATTGAAGTGATTTGTTTTAGAAAGTGGTGTTTTTCCTTCTAATCATAGTAAGGACATGAGAAAGAAGCCCATTAGTGGCGGTCTTGATTTTAAATATGGACTCCGCCCAGTCCGAGACAAGACCGAGTCAAAATGCCTGCGATTCCGAGACGAGACTGAGACCTTTAAAAAAGTGGGCTCTAGACCGGTCTTAAGACAAAGACCAATCTCGAGTACCACAACACTAGGCTTCAAAATAGAACATGACAAAGAACTGCATAACCTGTTTCACTGCAGTCCCTTTCATTAAATGTCTCACACGATTGATGACGTAGCAACATGGCTGTGAGTGAGGTTTGTCATTTCAGTCCAATAAGCACAGTTCAGGTCAGTCTTCTCAATCACCTAAAGAGAGGACAAGCTCATTCAGGTGATAAGTCACCGATAAGAAGACTGATAATTCCTAGAATCACATCTTTTCTCATGCCAAAGGTGGCTCAACTCCTGTTTAAACCACATGTGTAATCTGCTCTTTTAGGTCAGTGAGATTGAGACAGAAAGGTGAGATGTCAGGTGACATTTTTGCGCCTCAAACTTTGCGTGAGTCAGACTCTTTGTGTTGGTTTGTGATGGAGGGAGGCATTTGATGAATTTTCTTATTTCTTTCCGAGGCTTTTCAACTCCTGTCATCTGTGTGGTTTGTCATGTCTTATACACGAGTGGTTGGTGGTGATGAAGGGCTAATGGAGCTAAAGCTAATCTCCCTGAAGCTAATGTATGGTATTGATGATATTCCTAACCCAGTTTTCTGCTCCAGTTTTACATTTGGGATTTCCACATTAAAGCAAGGCTGTACTGATCAATAGGCGATGAGCACGACCTTTTAGCCTCGTGTTTTTAACTCTGACCTGGGCCCTATTTTCACTGGGGTGGAAGAACAATCTGGTGCTGGTTCTGTGTGTGGCTCTGCATTTTAACAAGGGTACTAACATATTTGTTCTTTCTTTTTCTTCCCCTTATCAAATCACTGATCCCCCCCTCCCCTCTGCTGTCTGTCCACATATTGTTTTTCTTGATCCTGTGTGGCGTTTCTCCTCTATTCCTCCATCTAATTTTCAACTCTGCCTCACTCCTCTTCTATTTCCGTCCTTCACCTCCTGCATTTTCTTTATCTCTGTGACTTTTGCATCCACTACTGTTCTCTATCTCCTGCTTCCTGCCGCTTTCTCTCAGTGTGACCAAGACCAGTGCATTCAGAGCACCAAATTCGTTTTACAGGCCGCCGCCACACCTCTCCTCCAGCAGCAGAGCAGTGAGCCCGTCATCCTGACCACTTCCCCTGAAAATGGAGGAGCTCTAACTGGCCGCACGTCCCTCACCCTTGGTGGCCCGTGCACATCACTCCCTCTCGGCCAGCCCACCCCTCCAACGTCCACTCCCAGCCTAAGCCTTCACGAGGCCACTGACATGATGCAGATCCATGGACACGGCCACACGCTTAACCACAGCCACCCGCTGCAGGAGCCCGGAGCCCACCACCACTTTCTCACTCCAGAGGAGGTGCCCTCGCCACCAGGTATGCTTCCCTGCGGAAGCCCACTTGGTCACAGCCACACGGTGCAGACTGGCTTTTACAACCCCGCCAGTCAGGACTCCCTACACGAGGACTCTGTCCGAGGACTGGTTAAGCTCAGCTCTGTTTGACAGTGGGACCCCCAGAACACATGCATCTGTGAAAACTTCCCTGTGCCACTTTTGTGCCAGCTCGCTCCCACCCTGAATTACTTTACCTTTGTCTCCTCTGCAGGACTAGAGAACTGAAAAAGGCTGTGGTTTAAATTCAGCTGCTAGAAACTAAGAGGAATTTAACTGAACTGGAGTGAAACCTGTTGTCCTCAGCCAATGGTCTTGCCAAACCACTTTGGAAATGACAGAGATGTATTTCTGGTATGATGGCCTGTATTAAAGCTCAGACATGCCCTTTTTTAATTCAAGGGAAGCATAATCTGTTTGCTCCAGGAAACATGATGGTGAGTTTCTTCATCAAAGTGGCATATGTCTGTGAGCCATGTCAAGCAAAAAAAAAAACACGTTTTGACAGTACTTGACAATTTTGGGGAAAAATGAATTTCTGTCAATGAATCAAAGGTCCAGCAGGTTTTTTTGTACAACCAACTCTAGCCTTTTTGCCTGTTGCTGATTGGACAGCATATTTTGCCTTTTTTTGTTTTTTTTCTCTTCGATGTTCTCAGCAGTGCAATGGTTGATGTCATAATGTTGCATATCATCCTGCTTTTTCTATGTTGAAAATATAAGAGACTGTTGTACTGAACCATGGTAATTACAAATTGTATTTCCTGTGGATATTAATAAAACACCAACTTTTTATCAGATACGATAGCATTAGACTTCAGGTCAAGAGGGAGAATCATGTGTTCAAAATACTTCCTTAAAAGTTTATCTTGTGACAGATGACTGAGGCCAGTAGGCTTAAAGGTCCCATATTATGCTTTTTCTGGTTTTATATGCTCTTTTAGTGTGTTTTCCAAGTGTCCTGTGCATGTTTAGGCACAATCTATGTTCACAATCAGTAAATGAAAACAGACACTTTTTTCGAACTTCAGCTATTGTGAACGTACAGAAGTAGGTACATAGATTAAATATACGAACCCCAAAAAGGGCATAATATGGGCTCTTTAAATCAGAGAGTACAAACATGCTCGCCTGAATGCTGCTGAAAACTTCTGGATTTCAAACAAGGTAAGCCTTTATTTTATAAAGTCTCTCAGTCATCCTGACAGAAGTCCTGGTTAGGCCTCGAACAAAAATGAGCTGTGCAGACATTAGAAAGTTTCTATTAATCGTTATTAAAGCTAGTTTACGGTATGAATAGAGAATCACATTTTTGAAGCTATCAGAGAAGGTGTCTGGCTGGGGAAAAGTTGTCACACAGTATAAGCTCTCTTGTTCCACCCTGTGCCTGAGCAGGAGTACTGCAGTTAAATTAAAAACAGGAAAACACAAGTTACACTACAAAGAACAAACAGATCACTTGTAAAATACACAATACACTGTGACTCTTCTAAAATGTAACTCAGATATGACTACACTTAATGTGAGCTGGTTTTTGTGTGTGAAGAACTTGAACAGATTACTGAGACTCTGCCGTTCAGAGAGCAGAGCATTGTGTAACCCATTCTTTTGGTTTTACAGCCAGCAACTTTCCTGTTCAAATGAGCTCTGCCTGCTATCATTGATCGTGTTTCCAAAACTCATACGGTCTTATTTCAGTCTAAAAAGATTAACATCAAGCTATGTAGAAGTTAGTCACATCTTATTCCTAATGTTGCGTTTGGTCTGCTAGGTGTGTAAATGAACCACTCCTTGAGTCATACGTACAAACGTTTATGTAAAATGAATAATAGAGCATCATGTCACATGAAAAAGTGGAAACAAAATGATAATAACATATTTATTAGTTAATAAATCATTTATGATACATAAGGAACATTTTTCATACATATCTTACAACAATTACAACAAACATTGTCAAAGGAAAATAAATACCAGTATTCATTTTTTTTTTTTTTTTTCAGGATGTTTTTTTTGTTTCTTAAATATTTGGAGCAGAATTGATCATTGCAGCGCAGAGTGGGAGCGTAGGTTAACAAGTGATGGTCACAGATGCAGGCATGTACAATAGTCTAAGACTTGCGTAAAGATTGCAAAAATGTTTCTGAATATTCATATATTGAGCTGACCCTGTACTGCGCAGTGCTCGACCTCTGCTGCACTGTTACTTGTTCAGTGGATTTAAATGGCGAGTGCGTGAACACACTTTGATGTGTTTCAGAACCCTCAGGATTATGACCTTTTAAAGTACAATGAGTTCAAGAGTAAAGAATGAAACAAAGAAATTGAAGCGTGCCATTAGAAGACACGTCCTATTTACTTGAGAAAAAAATGCTCTGAAGCATTTTAGATTTTCTGTACAAGAAACACATGTTCAGTGGGCCTCTGAAAGAATGGAGCCCTTCAGTATCATTCATTGTCTGTAATCAATGTCCATATTGGCATTTAAACAAAGCCAGTACTTGAGAGTGCTTTTTCATATTTACACACATGTCCTGTTTTGAATATACAGTGCACTAAGGGAACATCACAGCAGAGATGCACTAAAGACAGAATAAGAAACAAACTAAGGCAAACCTAAGCTGTAGCTGTAAACAGTCATGGTGGCTCACACCCCGATGCTCCAGAGCAGCTAACTCTCATGCACCAGTCGACACAGACCATAAACACTCGGTAGTCAGGCCTGTTCATTGTCCTTGTTTGCTAACAATGCTAGACTAGCTTAAAATCAAAGATCTATGGTTGATGCAAGACAACCCTTTCCTGAGGTTGCACGGGGTTTGCTGTTTTCAGCGTCCTCTGTCTTGGTCATTGCGGCTAAGTTGATTTAGCATCGAAAAACCACAACGCAGCAGCGTCTGCTACGCTGTGTTTTTAGCAGGCCTACAGTCACCACAGCTTCACATCTGTGAGCTCTAGGTCTCCCATGATCTCCAACTGGTCAATGCTGCTCAGGTCCTGCACCCGATGTCTGAACTCAAACAAGTGAGAGCCGTTCACTGCCAGTTTGAACTGATGAGGCTGACAGAGGATGAGAATCTGACGACATCAACACAGAGTAATAATCAATCATCTCAAAGCAAACAGACATATTAAGAAACAGTTCACATTCTGCACATCTAATGTGATAAAAGTCTAATACACTTGCAGCAGGCAGCAAAAGCCCTTCAAAATAGAAGTTAAGGTGTTGCCAGCTCCTACCTCAAAGTATTCCCCTGATGAGAAGGGAAAGAAGGGCAGCTCACGCTCCTCTTGACCCCAGGCTTCACTCAGGTACGAGTTCCTGATAAACATGCCAGACTTCATGCGGGGATTCAGATGAAGGGCGATGTTCTCCGTCTTCCTGGTGCGGAGGTTCACTGTAAAACTGGAGGAAACGCAGATTAAAAGGTCAGTCCATTCAAATCAGAAATCTTATTTGTTACAAAGAAATGTGCTGTATGTAAGCAGATCAAACAAGTCAGTCAGACATGCCTGTTCTGTGCTGTGACGAGGTGTAATTCACTTTACCTGTGAGGGTACATGCAGACCTGCCCTTTGATTGTTATATGCTGTCCAGGGCTCATCCCTTTTAGTATACTGCCTTTGTAAGGTAGGCTCTGAAATGGATACATTTCATTAATTATTGATATGCGGACACTTTTTAGACCAACTGATTAGCAAAGCAATAAAAATGAGTGGATCAAATTCTATGATAATGTCCTTTCAATAATTAGTTTGTCTCTCTCAATCCAACAACGTAAACCAAGACAGGTTCATGTCACAAGCATAAACACCAACAACCCTAGACTGTGTCAAAGAAATGGATGTAGGATTTTTGATTTTAAATGAGAACCCACTGCTCTAAACCTGAATCATTAAGCCTTTAGGCTATTACTAGTCCATTATTGGGCCAAAAGGGGGGAACTGCATTGATTGTAAAACATGTTTAGTTTATGTTTCAGTTTATCTTCTCAATGAGTGGTTTAAGGACTTCTTGACTACAGCAGTTTTTTTTAAAGTTTCATCACATTTAGAGTAAAGCCAGGTATGCCGTAGGGTGTCACCATCTATGATTGACAGGCTGCTACCACTGGGACCTGTCAACCAGGCTAGAGACATAGCAGTGTGGCTCAAACCTGTCCACCAGGTATGTTATCATCTGGCTCCAAAAAATAAACCAATAACACGTTAAAGATATTGAACATTATTTCATAAACCAATAAGTAACATGGCTACATCCATTTCTTGTATTCAGTCAATGCAAGGAACACAGGCCCATGTGAACAATCATGCTGATGTTGAATGAATCCCCTGTATAGTGATCCATATCTTATTGCCTGTCAAGTATAGATTCATCCAACATGACCGTATGCATTCACATTTACTTACATTTGACTGTGTGTTAGTGTGAACTGTGTACATATGTGTGTGAGAAGTGAATCCAATCAAAACATATTTAGTGGTTAAATTGTAACCAGCTATTAGTTTGGTTTGTCCAGAACAGTTAACAGTGCCAAGAAAAAGAAAGAGAACCCTTCTGACTAACCGACAAATATCAGTCAATCACCCAATAAAAATCATTCTAATGTACGTTAATGCACAATTGTACTCAAATAATCAAGTTACACATTGGCATATTTATTAAAGTTATCAGAAAATACATTTGATAGGTCTAATGTAATTGATAGCGGAAAGGCATTTGCTGCTGAAAAAATGCCCCTCAACACTGTGAAAATGAAGAGTAAAAAACAGCCTGGACACAGTAAAAAAAGTAATTCTTCACAGGGACTAGGGCTGATTCTGGCTTCAGATCACCTTAGATTTTGAGATGGAAAAAAACTCCTTCAATCAATGAACAGAAAAGTCAAAGAGATTAGTGGAGAGGTGACCTAAATACAATAAACATTTAGTGTAGATCACTGCTGTTAAATAAGGTTTAATTGAAAGGAAGAATGTGCGACTTTTTGATCCAGTAGATGTCGCCCTTGAGCATCAGCTTGAAATCAAAACTAACTTCTGTAAGTGGACACCTCCACCACGTTGAATCCTCCACTCTCCTACAGCGACACATCTCAAACCCTCTCCCCTCGCGTTTGCAAAAAAGGAGTTATCAAATTTGAACTCACCATAATCAAGCACTAAGCGCAAGAGGCTGACTCAATTGTCCTCGTCTCCAGCTGCTTCTTTTCTCTAGTCCCTCACTTAAACAGCTTTTCTACGCAAAGGGACGAGCAGGCCGTCCGTCCCGTCCGTGTAAACCCGACAACATCACAGGCTCGCATGTCACACTCATTGTAGACAGTGAAGACTCAGAGAGATATTTTCAGAGGGTATACTTGATTTCTGCTACATTTATGTGTATATAATGTCACACATCCTTTAAGAACTTCAGCCTGACTTTCAGCAATTACTTTAATAAATGCGTCGCTTAGTTAATATTTCAGGTGGATGTTAAGGTTCTATTATTGTGAATTTCAAGAAAACTCAGCTGGTTTGTAAACAATCCCTCCTGGATGACTTTGTTTTAGCCATGCTGGTGTGTTTCCTGATCTCGTAAACCACAAAGCAAACCAGAAATCCAAAAACACAGTGGGACGATGGCGAAACAAACAAAGAAATCATTGAGGAGCTGTGATCCAGTTTTAGTGGCATCACATGATACTGGGCACATTTAGGCACAGAGGGTTTGTGTGTATGATTCAAATGGAAAAACTCACCAAGTCACCTGATTCTGAATATATCGCCTAAAAAAGGGGAAAAAAGGACAAATTTAGAGATGAAAGATATTTTCATTAAATCAGTTAAACGTGTTAGGATTAAATGAAGTAAACAAGAGATTTGAGTCTACATACTGAGGTTGGGATGTAGCCAATAGCGTGCACTGTGACATTCCCAGAAATAGAAAAGGTGTCGACCCTGTTTAGTGGGATTTTGTGCTTGTATTGCAGCAGGTGAGCACCATTTACTGCCACCTGAGGGAAAAGGGAAGTCATTTTATTGCCTTATTTTATAGAAATCACACTGCTATGCACATGTACTGTCTTACTGGTGCCTCTATCTTCACCAGCTTGTATAACTCAACCTTGAAGACGCCTTCGTGCACCAGGATGATAGTCTCAAAGGGGGCTCCACGTTTGTAGGGCAGCTGATGGAGTGTCTCCTCTTTGCCCCAGCTCTCGTGCTTCAGGGAGTTACAAACCACACAGGGCGAGCCTTTGAAGCGAGGGCTGAAGTGGAAGGCGACGTCAGAGCGCGGCTTGGTGCTGCAGCCACTTGACAAGTCGATCTGAAACCTCAAGAGAGAACGCACACCGTGGCGGGATAACCAGGCAAAGTGGACAAACTGCCCATGGACACAAAGGTCACGTCATGTCAAATAGTCGGCATATCTAAAGCACGATATCACCAGCGCCAGGGGTGAGTTGATTCATAAAGGCCCTGTATCCAATTATTGTTGTTTGAAGAAAAAAAAAAAAGAGTGAACTAAAGAATCCACAAAAATGTTCAGGGACTAAATCTTGTGCTCAAACCGAGAATTTGCAAAGTTTCTTTAAGCATCACACTAACCTAACCTCTGATCTGCTGAGCGGAAATTAGTCTAAACAGATCTTGACGCTAATATAATTACAAATTCCTATAAAATCTGTGTAACCGATAGGGAAAAAAAAGAGATGAAGTTCCTCCACATGCTACACATGGGCTCTATATTCAAGTGTAAGATTGGCACATCCTCACACAGTGTTGCTCAATAACAACTTACCTGTCAGCATCTGGGGGCACAGTGCCTTGGATGATGATGATCTCCCCAGGGTGCAGGCCACCAGGAATGGGCCCTGTGTATGGGACCACCTGAGGTAGAGTTGCCATTAAAGCACTTTATACACCTGCACTGACAACACCTGGAGACATGCTATCTAAACGCCTCTGTGTTTCATTTGAGCTACAATAGGCTAAACACTGACCAGCCTGATTAACTAACGCTGTGTGTGCAGGCCGTTTCAAGACAACTGCTTGAAATCACAGCATTAACCACGACCACCTTTAGTTTTTAGCTGTGTTGCGGGCTATAACTGGGTCTGTGGATCACTGCATGGTGGAATCAAAGGGTTGATTTAGAGCAACATAAAAAATGATAAGCCTCTTACCGGATTCAGCACAGTGTGTTTCGCATTTGCCACAGACATCGGGCTCGTTGTGTCAGTCTACAACATGTAGCTGTGATGAAAGACAACGGAGTCTGCGGTAAATCTGACCGGTTAGTAAAAAATCCTGCACTACGCAGGGTTGAAGGCAACGAGCACCGTCTCTCCATCAGAACACAGAACAGCGTGCGCATGCGCAGATTCAACCACGTGATCAAGTCCGCTGAAAGGCTGAACACTAAAAATCCACTCCATTTTTGTTCAATTACTTTATAAACTAATTAATTGTGACTTCTTTTTCAGTGTTATTATTTAGTGCTTAAACAGTGATAAGCCCTTTTTTCCTCAAAAATGAATAAATACTTTAATGTACCATCTTCTCTCAGACTATAGCCAACAAAGAACTGTTGGGAATAATGTGATTCTTATATTTAATACCGATACTCATTAAAATAAATTATATTTCAGGAAGTGGGTAAGACAAATGCGTGAAAAGTTCAACAACAACAATAACAATACTAATAATTATAGTTAATAATGATTGATAATCGTAAATGCATATTAGATTTTCAAATGTTACTGAACTTTACTGTTGGTGGTTGTTGTAAAATACAAATAATGAGATTTATGGGATTATTGAGAATAGAATAGATGTTTATTGCCATTTGCACAGGTACAGGACAGTACAGGTACATTGGAATTCTTGTGCGTTTCTCCCTGAGTCAGCTTCTACAAAAACAAGGTAAAATTATATATAAAACAGACTAGCATTGTAAGAAAAAAATAAAAATAAACAAGTTGTAGTAACAACTAAGTGATTTAAAATAAACTGTACAGAAGTTATACACTGTATTAAAGCAAAGATATAATACAAAAAAAATAACAAGGGGAACACTGTACAATGAAATGAAAATATAAATACGTTTTCTTATTGCACTTATTATCTCTTATTGCACCTGAGGTTATTGCACACATATTTTTCACATCATATAATTGCACTGTTTTTTTGTTGTTGTTTTTAGGTTCATATTGCTGTTGTGGTAGCGGGAGATGCTCTCTGGCCTGTGATGTCGCAGGTTATAGCCCGAGTTCTTCCCCCTGAGATATGCTCTATTGTGATAACGACTCTAGCCTCAAACACAAGTCTGTTCAATTTTAATTGTCGATTTACTTCGTGTCCTGTGACAAATGAGAGCCGGACCGGACGAGAAAATGTATTCCGAGTTTTTTGCGCTCTCCGGGCCACCGTACTATCTTTATAAGCGGAAGTGACTCTCTGGCGTCATCTTCTGTTCGGCCTTCAGAGAAACGCAGGCAACACCCAACTTAGCTAAAGACTCGTCGACTTTAATGACAAATGGCTGTTGGTGGGTATAAACGTTTATTTGAATCGTATAAATACGGAAATGGTGGGCTAATTCATAAATTCTTAAGAAATAAAGCAAAAAAGTAGGCATAAAGCCAGGTCTGGGCGTAGGCTACTTTCGGTTAATTCCTTTTTCTCCTTTTGTGTTCAAGGAACTATTGTCGCTGTTGGAGCAGGAGCAGGTCAGATTATGAAAACCTTTGACTTTTATTCTCCCCTTTTTAAAAAAAATAATAATCTAAAAGAAGAGCAATTTAAATATGGACCCACACAGTCATGATAAAACACTTTTTTCCCTCCCTCTGCTCGGTTCGTGTCCGTGGATAGTGGGTGCTGTGGTCCTGGTTCCGCTTGCTCTCGGTGCTGCAGGTTTCACCTCAGCTGGGGTAGCTGCAGGCTCCGTTGCTGCCAAAATGATGGCGACCACTGCAGTGGCTAACGGAGGAGGGGTGGCAGCAGGAAGTCTGGTGGCTGTTTTGCAGTCAGCAGGTAAGAAAGTGGTGGACAATAAACTCCTGATGGAAGCGTGTGGTGTTGGACTCATTGGGTGTTTGTTATTGAAGGGCAATACAGTCAAATGTGCATGACCGTCAACATAGAAGATGTTGTTGAACACAATTTGTCTGGAACTGAAAGTGAAACATCAATATTTTCACACAAAAAAAAAAAACTCTTAAGCCATTGTAGATCCTTTTATAGAGTTTTTCTTAAGAAGTAGTGTGGCGCTTCAGTAATGACTGTTTACAGTAGCCTACTGTGAGGAATACAGTTCCTATTCTTGATGTATTCATTTGGCTTGACAACACAGCTGTGCCTGTTCTTGCTGCTCAGTAATAAACCTGTGCGATCTTCCTGTAGGTGCAGCAGGCCTTTCTGGAGTTGCCTCTGCAGCTGTGGCCACCGCTGGAGGAGCTGTGGGCTGGCTGGGTAGCTTAATTAGAAAACCATGAAAATACTTGATGAATCTTTACTTTTAAAATGGTCCATTTTGTCAGCTTAATTGCCAAACAGCACTTTTGCAATTGTATACATGCAGTGAAATAGTGTGATTTGTTATTAAAGTGTTGTTTATTTAGTCTTTTTTGTATGTTTTCTACTGTGTGCATTTGATTCCAGACTGCCAGACTCTTAAAGACTTTATTCTTCTTTCCAACACGACTATGTTTGACAAATCAGTTTGTTGTTGCCTGGGCTGACAATGTGAATTGTTAAGTAATGAAACTTTACAATCCATGTCAAATTCTTAATTAAATTAAGAGAAACGTGAAGAAACTTGTGACATGCCACTGGATTCTCAAATCTTGAGGGGCAAAGTGCAGATTTATTTAAATGTTCACCTTTTCTTCTACCTTCACATTTTGCAGTTCATGATCATAAAAGGGGAATACTTTCCACATGGTAGCTCAGATACAGCATGCAGGAATGAGTACTGTGTAAAGATCTCATTTCATATAATGTTACTCCTAATCTTAAATGTTGGTGATCGCCACCACAATCCAGGGCTGATGCAGTCTTCTCGTTTTGCATCATCACAGATGGAAGTTTGTCCTGAATGCAGGTTTAAAGGAGCAGTCAGAATTAAACTGGTTTAAAGATTTATGTCTCTTGTGTTTTTCTCCAATTTTCTAACTTTCATGATTCAGCACCTCAGAAATGTTTCGTGTTATTTTGGGGGAAGTGGCTCCATGACACGGTGTCTTGGTCACACAGACACAAACGAAACTTACTGCAGTTTCATTTCTCCGGAAATACAGCAACAGCTGCGTAGGTAAATCTCTGCTCCGTTCAAATCTCATCAGAAAGAAGCAAGTCATGGACCCATGTGAGTATCACTGAACGCTATAATAACCATATAACCAGAGCTAACACCTTCCATAAAACATTATGATCTGTAAGATGTGACCAAGCTTTTCATATCTCGTCTTGCAGTTTCAGCTTTGGCCGCTGTGGCAGGAGGAGGTAAGACCTTAGTTGAACTCCTTTGTTTACTATCTTAACCTTTTTATATGCTAAACGATACATGATCTACGACGGGAGTATTAACATCTTAAATACATTAAGTGTTCTATGATGATGATCCAAAAATATGTAGTTTCATATCTGCAGAAGTAAAGCCCAAACACAACTAATCGGATGTTTTTTTATTATTATTATTATTATTACAGAAACACGAAGTAGCCTATAACAAGATGCTCCACGTTTGTCATTTTCCAACATTTTCTTTAATTCTTGTAACTTTCACGACATGAATCTCGTAATTTAACGACTTTAATCTCGACATTTTTTTTTTTTTTTCTTTAACGTGGCCCTAATCCTCCGTCGTAATGATCACTTTTAAAGCTCCCTAACAACTGATGACATTGTGAACAAAGTTTCCTCCCCCCTGCTTGGTTCTTGTCCCTGTGCAGTAGTCGCTGTGGTCGCAGCTCCTGTAGCTCTCGGAGCCGCAGGTTTCACCTCTGCAGGGATCGTTGCAGGCTCAATCGGAGCTAAAATGATGTCGGCTGCTGCGATCGCTAACGGAGGAGGGGTGGCAGCAGGAAGTGTGGTGGCAGGCCTGCAGTCAGCAGGCAAGAGGCTGCTCAAAATTACCACAAATATTTTGAAGTCATTGTTATTTGCTTTTTGCATATTGTGCTAATAATGCAATGTTTGTGGAGAATATAATGACACAGTGTTTGAAAGGCGTCTAAAAAGCTGATTTTTCTGCAGCACAGTAACTGAACATTTCCTGTGTAATCTCGTCATAGGTGCAGCAGGCCTGTCAGGAGCTGCCTCTGCAGCTGCGGCCACTGTTGGAGGAGCTGTAGCCTCAGTGGCAAGAGCCATCTTCTGAGATGATTACAAGACTCATCTACAGCGTTTAGCTTTTTGCAAAGGTCATGGAAAATGTTTTAGTTTACTTACCAAACAGCTCTTTTCTAACGTTGGACATGAGGCCAAACGTGTTTGTTACATGCTGAGCAATGACTGATAGCCTTTTGGTTCAATGTTAAGACAATTCAGTTGTTCCTTGTGTAGAAGTTGCTTGATGTTATATTTGCATGCATGTTATAGTACTGCTGAAGCTGTGTAATGTTTCTTGACCAGATTGTTAATCAATGTGCTTTATGTGAAAAGTGATCCTCAAGGTGGCGCCGGAGGAAAAGCTTCCAATCTTTGTTTTGGAACTTTCTATGATTAATAAAAATCCAGTAGGCCTAGTTGTTGACCTATTTCACTGTGGCCTGTGTCTTTCTTTTGTAGTTTGTAGAGGCCACATGCAGCCATATTGCTGATTATTGAATGTGTTCACCTTCCGTCCTAACACAAGAGTCACTGAGAAGTCAGGATGAACTATCATGTTTTACCTTTACGCAAAATAAAGAGACTGAACTGAGGAGGCTTTGCTGTTCCTGATACCTGTCATACAGCAGGGAAATAGCGCCACCTGCTGCTAGTTTCAAGCTGTTTACTGAGTGAAAGGCAAATTCTTAAATGGAAACGGGACTTGAGGAAAAGTAGAGGCCATACATTTAAGATAATTTTTTCCAATGATGACAAGTAATTTGTGATTGTTTTCCCAAAGTCTCAACTTGTTTATCTCGTGTCCCCAGAGTTGCAAAAGTACAGAGCAATCAGAAATACATTTAACTTTCCTGAATAGTGTTAGTTTGGATAATGACACGGCATGGTCTGGCCTTTCAAAGCGACCAGCCAATTGTTAATCCTGTTATCATGAGAGAGAAAATGAATTCTTTATAATGTCAAAACCAGTGAGAAAAGTGATTCCAGACTTTAAGAAAACTAGAGATTACTGGTTATCACGGGAAAACTGAGTCAATAAAATGTTTGCATGCATGTTGGCTGTATATTAGGTCATGAGATACTCAAATCTAGAAGGAAAAATACGTATTGGAATGAATTTTATTCAATAATGGCAATAAGTACTTGGTGTACATGAACACTGAATGCTTTGGGTTCAGCATGTTGAAACAAAACGACCTAATATAATGTCTAAACATCTCTGTTGTGTAAATACTTAATGCTGGACTGGTCATTTCTTTGACTTTGATAGCAAGAGCCAGAGCTAAACTATTTTTCTCTTTATTCACTGCAACAACAACAAAGAGTATGACATCAATACAGGTTTAAAGAAGCAGTCAGAACTAAACTACTTTAACAACCCTCACATGTTTGTCTTTTGTTTTCTCTCGATGTTCCAATTCTAAAATGTTGTTTGACTGGACTCTTTCAGGGCTGAGCTCAGATTTTAAATGTACAGTAGTTTCATTTAACATGAAATGATATGTAATTATGGTACTGATTAAACTCATACCACAGATCACAAGATAATTACCCTTGTGACGTATGCAGCTCCTTGTTGGAATATTGTGAAAAGTGTTTACTGAAGTCCTGAAGCTTCAGCACGTCACTGAACCCTTTCCAGATTAACTGACACAGCATTTATTTCCTGTTTCTTTAGTAAAGCATGTGTTTCTGATGACTACAGATAACACTCCTCAGCCTCACAGTCAACCACGCATGGCTTTAAGTGAAGTTCAGAATCAACAGTGCAGGCCTGACTGTGTATAAAACTGAACCCAAAAATGGTAAAGGGACTTGAGCTTGTATAGCGCTTTTCAAGTGTTCTGACTACTATAAGCACTTTTACAGCCTAGGTCATCCATACCCATTCACACACGGATGGCAGAGGCTGAATCCGTTTATACACATTCTGCCGACAAAGCAGCTGGATCAACTTTTGGGTTAAGTGTCTTGCTTAAGGACACATTGGACATGTGGGTTCAGGAGCCAGGGATCAAACCCTCAACCTTCTGGTTGAGAGAATGCCGACTGACCCACAGAAAACATGAATTATATATGATTTATTAGTTGGATGAGAAACTTGGTGGTCCCCTTTTCTTCAATTTGAAGTTGGATAACATTTTTCTTCAACAATTTAATGACCATTCTAAAAAATTAAAGTCAACTCAGACTTTTTTTTTTCTTTTCACTTCTGTGTGAAGATCTGAAACAAGTCATAGAATTATTTTATTTTATTAATAAAGCACATCATCACAGTTAAGCTCATTGTGCTTTAAATTGAGGTAAAAATACAACATACGACAAAAAATTTAGACCAACATGCAAATATTAAGGAGATCACAAAGAGGTCAATATATTTATATATATTTTTAATTTCTATTTTAAGCTTTTCTCACAACACTGTATTTGGCCATTAGATACTAATTTCTTGACTCAAAGTTGCAGGTTTCATTCAGTTTTCAGTCATCCATCTATAAGAGTATATCAACATTTATAATGAACAGTTTCTTCCAAGAAAAAGTCCTACATTACGTAAATGGGATCTTTTACTTATAAATGAATGTTGTACTTTAGTGCTAACATGGATTTGTCTTGCCTTTATTGGAAATGACAATGGATAGAGTAGGAAACCAGGGAGAGAGATCGGGTAATGACATACGTGAAAGGAGCCACAGACTGGTGTTGAACCCAGGCCGCCCACCTGGAGGACTATAGCCTCTGTAAATAGGGTGCAACATCACCACTAGGCCATCTGCAAGTTACAGTTTAATAGTAAAAATCCATTGAAGTAGCTTATATGAAAGAAGTCCATCAAAAGCCATGCATTTAGTAGAAAACAGCGTTAGAATCACTGTACACTGTGGTCACCACTATGTGTGAAAGTGTTAAATACATCCTGGATAAAACCACATTGTTACTGCAAGGGTACATTTCCACAGTTCTTTCAAGCTATTACAATATTTCTAACATCAGACTTTCCATTAGTCTTTAAAATGTACAATAACTACAGTGATCATTACGCTAAAGTAAATATTACTTTGGTTGTTATTAAACAAAATACAAAAAGGAAAACCATTACGCCCTCCCCCATCCTCAAGTCCAACTTCGCACATTCAATATAACCATAACCTGTTGGAGCACAGGGTGTTAACGTCAACCAATGAATCTTTATTTGTACAGCACCAAGTCATGATCTCAAGACACTATAAAAATAAGTGTTGGTTACTCATTGTTATATCATCTACAAAGAGCCAACATTAATCCATCATGAGCACAGCACTTTGCAACATTTAGAAAAGTTAGAGTGGCAGGGAAAAACTTCCTTAAGAGGCAGAAACCTCGAGCAGAACCAGAGTCATGATGAACAGCCATCTGCCGAAACTGTGTTGGGCTTGGAAAGTGGGATAGAGGGAGATGTAGAAAGAGAGAGAAGGATCGAGACACACAGAACAACAACAACAACAACAATAATGAATAAGATAGATCTAAAGATACATCAGTTATAATGTTAAAAGTATGTGTAGTTTTGGGAGTAACAACTAAGTATGATCATAAACTGATCAGTCTAATTTTTAGTGTTAGCAACTGTAGTGATGATGAAACGGGGAGGAACGATTTTTCGTACTTTGGTGATTAGTTAGTGTATTATTAATTTGGAATATGTGTCATTGATAGCACAGAAACCATGGCTTTGGATGGGAAATAAATCCTTAAAACTGCAACCCCTGTCATCTCTTTAGTTTGGGAGTCTTAGGCGGTCAGCCCATTCTAAAGAACCTGAGAAGTTTAATACCTAATGAAGCAAGTGTCAATAAACCAAAGTGGATCCTAATATTTTTTTTTGATAAACACATGTCAAATAAAAACAACTGAATAATATAAAAAGGTGTTTCCCCCTGATAGTTGAGAGAGAATGTGACACTCCTTCACAAATACTCATGACTGACCTCAGAAATGTTTATAACTTGTGTTTGTCTGGATTTATTTATAATATTGACCCAGTGACGCCCTCTTTTCTCTGAGTTTCGTTTCTCCTGAAATGATTCCAAACTCTCTCAGAGTATATATAGCCCTGACTCACTCAGATCTCACCACTCAGGATAACAACATGGGACTATGTGAGTATCATTCCTCCTTTGAATAATGCTGTGAAAATATTAATATGATGGCTTCTTCATGTTCCTCATTAGAATGTAATAATGATAGGGCACTGGCAAATATGTTTGATATAACCAGATGGGCTTTTAACATTGATCCTGGTTTTCATCCTTTCTTTCAGTAACTATCGCTGCTGTAATAGGAGGAGGAGGTAAGCCCTAAGAAACGCTTCATATATCAGCTCTGTTTTCTTTTTACTGATTTGAACTAATTTAATTTTAAAGTCACTCACATAAATGTAGAAGACTCTCATTACAAGACAGGGTTCTCCCCTGCTGTGGTCTTGTCCATGTGTAGCAGGAGCCGTGGTCGCAGCTCCTGTGGTTCTGGGAGTTGTAGGTTTCACTTCAGCTGGGATAGCTGCAGGGTCCTTTGCTGCCCAAATGATGGCAGCAGCTGCCGTCGCTAACGGAGGAGGAGTGGCAGCAGGAGGTCTTGTGGCTGGTTTGCAGGCAGCAGGTAAAAGCCTTTATTTGATTTCAAATGAATTATAATCTGAAGGTTGAAACTCCTGTGTTGGACTGTGATATAATCACAAGGGGATAATGACAGGGACATTATATGTCTTGTATTTTCAAAAGTAGATTAAAATCCCCAAATAAACAATAATATTTGAACTAATATAATAAAATACAACTATCATATAACAAAGCTGTTGATCCTAAGTTCAAGTTTAATGGTTGTTGTGGTATATTGACCACATTAGTTATTTATGAGACACAGTTACGCAGTGAATAACAGAAGCACAACTTGACAAAAGGTGCAATCAGTTCAATAATTTTGAATTACAATCTGTGTTTACAATATAGTCTTAAGGTATTTCTTATAATTACACCACATTATGTTTAATAGGGCTTTGTTCTGTTACCTCCTTTGGATGAGAACAATAATTTCTGAGCTTGTGTGATGTTGCTGTAGGTGCTGCTGGTCTGTCTGGAGCTGCTACAGCGGCTGTGGCAGGCGCTGGGGGAACACTTGCAGGGCTGGCTGCAATCATCATCTGACAACCATGAAGAAAAAAGATGAAGCCACAAAATGTTTGCTATTTTAAATGATAAGCTTAATAAACTAAACTCATCATGTTTCATCTTTCAGACAACTAAAATGTTTGATGCAATAAATCCCTAAAGCCCATATACTGGCTCAGTGCGTCATCTGAATATTTCCTTTGCTGATAATGTCTCACAAAAAGCTTTCAGTAACTAAATCAATGGAAGTGTCCATGTAGTTACTGAACTCTATTGAAAGTAGAACATATTCAGAGACTCTATCTTACAGTCACTTGAGGACTTAAACATAAAAGAAATGTATGGAACGATCAAGTTCACAAAGCTGAGTGGAACAAGTCAGAATCCTATAATCAACTGGTTCATAAATATGAGCAACACTTTTAAATTACACAACATACATGTTGGGTATTCATATTAAATAATACCTCTTTATAGTTGAAGTGTTGGACTTGGACAGACAGCAGCTTTGAAAAGGGCCACATTGGCTGCATCAGTTGTTGGTGGAAAAAAGGCCTGATCAAAGTACATTCAGTAAAAGTGCTTAGCTTATGACAGAAAGGTTAAGTGTCTGAACACATGACAAAAGGTCCTCTTCAGAAACTAAACCCTTTTATAAACAACAGTTTTAATTGCTGTCTTAAAAGCCACCAAGTTCCATTGACAAAAATAGTAATTTCACCTTACAGGAATTGAGATCTGCTTACTGCATCTTTAGGTTTGTTACTCTGTGTAACTGTGTATTCAATAAAAAATAATGTGTTTGATTTTAAATGCCAAAGTCACACACAATACAATCAGACTAAATCACTGAGGCAGTGGTAGACCAGCAATTCAAAAGTCCTTGTGATATAATTTACTGTGTTTGTTTAAAGTCTGGTGGCTTCAGAGAGAGTGTTGTAACCAAAGACATGTAAATAAAGCTGGACGAAGCCTCAATGATGTCACCCATTGGTTTCTAAAGGGCTGTTTTGAAAGCCCATCCATGGGGGTTGCCATATTTGAAATAATGACTACCAAATATTCTGTCAACCTAACGTAAGGCACAGAGCTGGAGCTTCATCACAAACTGCTACAACACAGCCACTTTGAATCACCACACCCCTAATTATGCAAAACTCTTGTCCTTCATAAAGTCAAACTGGGTGTGTTATGAAACCATTCCTCCCCTGTACAGTGTGTGCTGATAAAGACATGAACTAATAAGACCCGGACCAGGCTGTAAACGTGTTAATTACATGCTGTCAAAACAGTCATTTAATATGGGGTGTGTTAAGAACCTCCGAGTCTTTTGGACAGCCTCAAAGGGACACACAATGAACTGTAGTACTTGCAAATTTTGCATTGGCTTCAGGTTGCTGCTCGGTTGTAACAACTTTGTTTTTTCTCAAAAAAAGATCTAACCTCATCAAAAAAGGTCTATCTCTGTAGGAATACTTTATGTTATGTTACCAGGAATTACGACGTAATATGTAGAAACGGCTCATCTACAAAAAACTATGGAAATTCTCCTTTAATGAAACAGGCTTTTCATTTCCAGAGAACATGTTTATCTTGTGTAACTATATGAAATAGATTTGATGAAGCCCTCAGACTAAACTGGTTCATCAGCTTGGAGGCAAACGCTTACATCTCAGAAATGTAAAAAATGTTTTTTTTCAGCTTCTGTATTTGTTGATCAGATGTATTTTGGCTGACTCATTGGGTAAGTAAATTTATTACAAAACCCTAATCACAGAGAGAAGAATTCCTACTGAAACTAGTGTCATTGTTTTTATTATGCACTGACTCTCCACTACAATCATTTAAAAAATAATGAATCCATCTCTGTAACTGTTCGAAAAAGTGAAATGGATTTTAGGCTATATTTTTGACAAGCTAAATGACATGCAGCCAGGCGCGTCTCACCCGTGGGTGTTGTGGGTGTCTTTCACTGAAACGTATTTTCATCCCCCACACTTTTTACCAGTGGAGTCATCGATGAAAACCTATTGGTCAAGTCAGATTTATTAAGTGACAATTAAGCCAATCATAGCTGTTTGGTTACAGTTGAAGCGCGGTAAAGTTACTAAAGTTTAATCCTCCTGTCACTCATCACGAGCTGAGTCAGAGCTCAGAGCTAACAAATGGATACATGCTACATGTAGCATCCTTCTGTAAGAGAGTTAGTCACCCAAACTAATGTTATTTAGATAAATCCACCTCACAAAACAACGTAAGTGTAACATTTTCTGCTCTTGGTTGTTATTTTAGCTGTATTTATTTATTTTTTGTAACTTTGTCTTGTTGTATGATGTTGTCAGCTAACATTAGTTATTGAACATTAAATGAAACAGAATGTGTTGATTTGCTAGAGGATGGTAATATACTAGAATTAGAACACCCGCACTTTTAAAATCGCTGCTCCACCCCTGCATGCAGCAGAATAACTGGCACAACTCAACAATGATTGGATCAACTCTCATGAAATTTACACCAGCTAAGTTATAATAACCTTATTGATTCTTATTTCAGTTTGTGCTGATAAGCTAACATTAGCATGCCAGCTTGACGCTGAATGATAATCATGTAGCCTACATCCCAGATTAGCGTTGTCATGATGAGCATGTTAGCATGTGGAGCACGCAGCAACACTGAACCTAAGTTCAGCCTTAAAGAGCTATTAGCACGTTGTTGAAACTATTTTATTATAATGTTTAGTTCTTTAATGAAATGGTAACAGCTTCTTCAGAAACAACAATCGAAGAGATGGTTTATTTCAGATGCATTTTATTATGGTTAATAAAAGGACAGTTTAAGATGAGAATATTCAAAGAGCACAGAATCATCATTTTTATAGCGTCACATTCACTCAAATGGTGTCAAATCGATCATTTATCAGAGTTACTGAACTTCCTGAGTCAACGCCAGGCAGCATCTTCTGCATTTCTTACACATTGTTTAGCTCATTGTGTTCAGCAACCTCTCATGTTTACCTGAAAGATGCTTTATGCAGAGTGTGTGTGGCAGATGTATGAAAAGTTCATTTAAATAAGATGATTAGATTAATCACAGAAACAGAAACAGTCACCTACATGAATAATTGTGTTATTTAAGAGTACACACAGCCTGTGTCCATGCTGTTTATCTTAAGGTTGAAGTGGTACCATTTTGGTTACAAATGGCTGATAGCATCCATCCCATTGCTCCTCCAACGCTGCCGACAACTCCAGCTGCAGTCGTTGTCAGACCAGTTGCACCTGCAGTGAGATGTCATATAGAGGCATCAGTGTTCATTTCAGAGATATACATTCACTCAGAGTCATTCACTCTTCATTGGATGATTTTGCATTGTATCATTATCTTGAGGCTTATTGTTAACTTTACCTTAACACTTTGCAGGAATATGCAAAAAAAGAAGCTAGTTTGTTCATCATTTCAAAAAGGTTATTTTTGTTTTAAAATATACACGCGCGCGCACACACACACACACACACACACACACACACACACACACACACACACACACACACACACACACACACACACATACACACACACACATTTGTAAACATTCAGCTTACCTATTGATTGCAAAAATGCAAACAGACTTCCTGATGACACGACTCCCATCCATGACATTATTGAGGCAGCAATGGAGCCTGCTGCTACTCCAGCTTGGGTCCAACCAAGGGTGACCAGCAAAGCAGGTGTGAAGAGCACAGTCACAACTCCTCCTGACAAGAGCAGAAGAAACTGTCTTAAATGAAAAGAGTCAAACAAGAGAATTAACGTTAAATGTCTAAAAGGTGTTTTCCATTTTTCTCACCTGCGCCTATGACGACAGACTTACCTATTAATGAAACATAAAATAAAATTAAGAATCAGTTTCTTCACTCTGAGCTTCCCATGCTGAAAATATTTGCTAACATTTATTTGCTGACTTATCGTTTTTATATATAATAAATTATATTTTCATATCTCCACTCACTCTTAGCCACCTCTCTC